ACCAGGAACTTCAAAATCCTAATTTCAGATTTGCTTCTGACCTTTGTGTGTGCATGCTGGCAGGTCAATTTGTTTTTCAGTTTCACTATTTACAAAATTATAGCCCTTAAACCTCTGAAGCAAGCAACTATTAGCTTTCATATAGCAATTTAAAGATCTATAATCAATTTGCCCCAAAATATTAAGTTTTGTTCTTTCACAGTGTCATCACCCCTCTCTTTCCATTCGTGTGAACTTCCATATGATTCAAGTTCAAATACAAGGTAACATTTTGTTCTATGCTGTAGTTTATGCCTACAATCAAAGAAGTTAGTTTCAGAATGTTTAACAGTACCAAAAAGTTTAGTTGAAGACACCTTAATAGAGATGTTTATTAAGTGAGGCTGTTACCAGACCAATAATCTATCCCAATTCCTCAAGGGACTGAGCCACATTTAGCCTACCCCATATTATGGATTATACTCCAAATCAACCTAGTTTAAAAAGGAAAGGGCCACAATAATTACAGTGCATGCTACTATTATTCAGATAGACTGAGAAACAAGAGTTGCAAGCTACTTAAAAATTACTCTCTCACATTTAATTAAGGGTGGGGAGGGGAAACTGTTCTTGATACAAGAAGTTCCTTGATATATAGAAAATAGTGGATACTTTTAATCCAGGATATAAAAAAAAAGGGGGGGGTGTTAATATTTATACTTGTTATATGCCTAGAGACTACCAGTACCTCTGAGTAAAGTAACAACTGATAAACATGCTTACTCTTCTGGTGCATGGAGCTATATAGTTATTTTCCATGTTTTGTAATTACTTACTTTTATTAACATTGGCAACCCTCCAAGAGTTGTTATGGGAATTAAGAACACTGAATATTTTTTATGAAGTCACAAAATCAATTTAAAATGTTTTAAAAGGTTGTCCCTATAGCTAAACCTTGACCTGGGAAATTTCTGAAAAAAGCAAATTTACAATAAGAAGTGAAAGATCAAAACGAAATATGCTGTACCACTGGCAGGTGCCACTATAATTAACACTAACCTTTAGACACTTTGTATTAAGAAGAAAGACCTTTAATGTTTCACAAATAAAAAATCCTCAATGTTGGTTTACATTTCATTGCATCTACAACACTCTGACTCAATGAGATGCTATATGAAAGTCAGTTAATGCTTGTAGTATATGAATTCTTTTGAAAAAGAATTACTAATGGAACCTATTATATCTTGCCTTCCTCCAAAAAGGATTTAAAACCGTAGCCATCTGGAGGGGAAGTAGGGGGAAAACTGCCACCTTTTCATACAAACTCTCTCCTCAAGTGACCTGAACATCTGCTTTTATTTGATCAACTTACTGCAGTATATTCAAGCTGTCATTGGTCATTATTCATGTTGTCTTGTGTATCAATTTCTATAAGACTTATGCTGCGAGGCATACATTCCTTCTCTCTCACAAAACTGAGTTATTCCCACATTCAGCAGCCTACTTAATATATTACCTATTCCCTAAAACACTGGGCTGAGCTATAGAAACTTGCATATTAATGACAAGAACAAAGCGAGAGGAAAAAGGAAGAAAAATACTAGCACATTCCAAGCTTATCCTAGGTGATCTTAAAAGTCTATTTATTCAGTTTCTTCTATGCTTCTGTTTATTAAAAAGGCATATGAAATTCAAAAATTCACATCCATACAATTTCAACATTAACCACATACAAATACTGACAGAATTTCATTAGCAGTTTCCCTACAAACCCAAATCCCCAAACTTTGCCAATAACAAGCTGTTTTCACAGCATTTCACATCTTAATTCTAAATATATAAAAAAAAAAAAAAAAAAAAAAAAAAAAAATCAGTCTAGTTTTAAAACTAAAAGGTTCACATTAGACAGAGCACCTTAGAAAGGAGGAGTACAGGAAAAGGGGATGATGGGAAAAAGAAACAGAGCATGCTGTTTTCCTTCATGTAGTAGTGATGTCAGCGTCTGCAGCAGCAGCTGCCTTGACCTGTACAGGCTCAAACCTAAAGTAATTTTACAGTTTTGTATTTGCACTCACAAAAATAAAACACTAAAATCTGGTGATAACTTGTAATACTAAAGTACTTTGGTCCACATTTTTTTAGAGAAGGTTCAAAACAATCCATGTTGCAAGAAGCCAGGTGTTTCAAGCATTTAAAAAAATATGTATCTTTCTATTAAAAGCATAGCCAATCCCACATACAAGCATGTTTCTGAAACAATGCAGAGTCTGCACAGTCAAAGCCAAAATGGTGTAACCCTGGCTGTTGATATATGCAAAGGCCAACAGCATATGGGGGAATGTTTTAAGAATACTTCATTAAATTCTGTGTAGTCATTCCAATAAGATTTATATCTTACTTAAAAGATAAAATAGCCAGACTAAATTGAGTAATAAGTTGTACTAAGAGGGTCTGTATTTGAAAGGCAAGTGTTTCAGCCTTCCACAATGACAGGAGCAGTCCTCCAACACTATTCTATATTCTGTTTAGCTGCACCACCATTCAAACTATCATTCTGGTTTTTAATACACACACATTATGTGCTAAACTCTAGACAAATGAGAACAGATCAAAGAAACAAGACTCATGCCACATAGTACCCCAGCTTACTCCAGATTTTGTAACCCTGCTCTACTCTTCTTTAATGATTTTACCTTTTCAATTGCAACGGTATAGAAATGGGGTGTCTTATCGCCTTAGCTTGCTAGAAAATGGTGCCTGTATTTCTGTAAAATAAAGCTGTTGACATGTGCAATTGTGGTCATTATTAGGGCGATCACGTTGTTTTCATTCATTCATTCAGGATTTGCTGGAGGATGCCAGTTTCTGCAGCAGCAGCTGGCTTGACCTGGAGGAGGGGGAACAAATTCCTCACAGTGCATACAGATTGCAGGATGGATTTCTTGACGGACCATTTATAATTTTATACATTACACACACTGAACTGCATCAAGCTCTAGATGTTAGCATGGCTCGCCATGAGGCAAGCTCAAACAAGTTTAATGACGGGAAAATCGTTCCGGACTAATTTATAGGTCTGATCTATTAAGATTAAGACTGAAGTTAAAAGCATTCTAGTCACTTTCTAAAATTAAGACTGTCCTCAAGCAAAAACATATTTTATTTAATATAAAATATTTGTTTTGTTTTAAGAGCTTTGCAGCATATTTCCCTGTTCACAGGCAATTACCTACACTCTCCATCCACTTGGAAGTACAGACCATCATATATTGCAACTTAACAACATTTTAGTATTAGGTTCCCAGGTATAACTTTTCTTTACAATATTAGTGAATATTAAAGCCAACTTATCTATATGCACGAAGTCTGTTATTTTGGCTGAGCTCCTATTTTCATTCCCAGAATTCACAACGTTGCACATTTGTATGTCTCCAAAAGGCTAAAAAAATATATATATATAAAACTTGCAACAAAAAATTAAGACCTGGAGAATGTTAGCCAAATAAGCCTCAGATCTATTAAAACATAGTTTGACTGAAACAAAGACCGCTAAAAATGATGTCCTTCCAAAATTATACAAAAACATCCCTAATAAAGATCACAGATCTACTGCATAACCTCTGCATAAATATCTACTGAGATAAATTAAAAAAACCTTCAGCATAAAGGTAAATATTTTATAAAGCACAAGCCTCTCACATTAATATTGCTAGTAACATGTTTTGCATACTTGCATAAACAAGTTGCTTGTGTCCTAGGACTACTTGCCTACCCAGATCTACTAAAGTCACAAATACTAGAATGGACTGCAAAGATTCACCACCAATTTGAAAACGGGAGGGGGGGGGGGGGAAAGGGGGGGAAAAAAAAGGAAAAGAATCCCCCTTTTTAAAAAAAAAATCAAGGGACACATATTTTC